ATGCACAAGCCTCACCAAGCCACTCTGCTGCCTCTCAACAGGTAGTAGTTTCACATATAGGGGATCTTTTACCCACCTCGCTGCCTCCTTACGAAGCAGCTGAGGATTTACTTTGTGGTCTTCCGCCCCAGACCACTACCCCTCCTTCTAACACATTGAGTCTAGTTTCCACCATCCCAACATTTTCAACATTTTCTAGGACACATACACTGCTCACACCACTGCACACAACAGGTGCACTCTACTTGTCCTCAACGATCGGAGATACGTCAATGATGATCGGAAGTCCTGCTGCTCAACAGATATCTCCATCATTATCTGCAGGCCACACTTCGGTAATCTTTACTGATGCTGTGACAACGGTTACTACCCCTGTAACCGGTAACCCTGACCCTACCGACCTTTCTGTCATTTTGCAACGTTTCTTGGATTCCACCATTAAACCATGGGTGCACGAAACAATAACCGCTCGGGCACAGGAATTCAGGAACACCCCGGCGTTACTTAATGACATCATCCAACCCCAACCATCATCCTCACATACCCAACAAACCCAACCACTTCCTATCATACCTACCCAACAAACCTCTGAACCATCCACAACCCTACCCCACTCACCTACTGCTTCAAGGGGAACCCAGGATACAGAACTAGTGTCCTCCCCTACTTCGACCACACCTTTTCCTGACCCTAAAACTTTACCGTTCGAGGTACTCGAAACCCTTATGCTAGATCAACTACTAGCTACCGAAGAAGGCAACCTAACCCAGAAACAAAAAGACCTTCTTCGGATCCTTAAGCCTGACAGCTCATGCCGTGATAGTCTCCTAGGTCACAAACGTTCGCATGAGGACCCCGATGACTCGGATCCTCATGAGGGGGAGAACAAGAGACAAAGGACACTTGAGCGTGATGCGTCAACAAGCCAACCCTCTACGCAATCCAACCGACCTGAATCCTCGAACAATCAGCCCCCACCATCCACTCAACATAAAAGCCAAACAGCCAACTCACCCACATCTAGCCCGGTCGAGCTAGAAACAACACTCCTAGGCTCATCTTTCATAGATGTAGACCAAGGATGGAGTGGAAGTCCTGAGGTTGCTACGTCGAGTACACCATTCTATTCAGGCCATCAGAAAGAACCTAGTTCTAATCTGATGATAACGGGCAATCCTGAGGATCCCGGTGTTTCACATGACAGGTCGCCTTCGACACAACAACAAGCTCACTCTAAGCCCTCTGGTAATCAAATACAAGATGAACTGGAAGACCTTCTAGTTCATGATCAGTGGCCTCGTGAGTGGACAGAGTGGGATGATCTTAGAGTGGAAGCGGAGCAGTACGAAATGTGTCGAAGCTGGCAACTCAGAGAATTTCTCAACAAATATCATGCACAAATGATTGGACTCGATGAAGATGAACTCAAGGAAGGGGAGAATCATAAAGAAAATCCCAAGGCACCAGAACCAGTCAAAGAAAAATGGGAAATTGTTAGAATCAAAGCCCCCTTCCTAGAAGAAATCCGAGAGAAAATCTGGCGACAACCTGAAAAAATCAAGAAGTTCAGTGAATTAAAGATGCGAGGAATCAATCACTTGAAAGGAAAATACCGAGGAGGAAACCTGTATATGCTAGGACACAGATCCACAGGGGAACGAAGACAAGTTCTAAATCATAATCTTGCAACAAGTGGATGTCCTATATCGAAAATCCTGGATATCACAGAAGACTACCTGGAAACGATTAAGTTCCTGATCTTTCGTCTACGACGTACCGATGGCTCGGAGTTCACCTGTCAAGAGAATGACTTCTTCCTACTGCATATGGATGATATTTATCAAATGTTCATGAGATGCAGGGAGCTCCCAGTGCACAAAGACAGACTTGCTAGAGAAGGTTTTGAGGCCATTAAGATATTCATGACAAGACAAGTTCGGTTCTACGCCTCCCATGATCTCCAGATGACTCTAGAGCACAATTATTCAAAGGCGAATCTTACACGACCGGACTTGGATAGACCTGGGCTTGAAACCTTTACAGCATATTATACATTTGACAAGCCCATCTCAGTCATCTATCTGAATCACAAAGAAGAGAAGCGTCTGATGATTGTTGAAGACATTCAAAAATACTGTGATGGGACCCTGCAAATCATCCGAGAACAGCTCCAGCCAAGGAAAGAAGAGCTAGATAAAAGACAGAATGAAGCCTCGAAGGAAGAAATCAAAGAATTGGAAAGAGTCAATAAAATCTTGAAAGCCATTGAGAAACAACTTGACAGAAGAAGGTCACTCAGAAATTACGAGCATGCACTCAATCTCAGAAAGCATTATTTTAAAGCTCAGAAGTGAAGAAAAGAAGAAGCAAGAATATCTGATCACAAAGGGGGAGATTGTTAGAGATATTTTCATTATATTGTGATCAATGTCTCTTAGCTCTTTATAATTAGCATTTTAATTTAATAGACTAGCTAGAATAATGAATAGGCCTTTTAAGGCAATTATGTAATAAAGGTTTTATACCTTTTTAGGTATGGGCCTCCTAGAAAAAGGAGCCCAAATGATTGTAAAACCTACCTTTCCCGTCAGGCTATATATATGCCTTAAGGGAAAGGCTAGGTTAAGCTTTTCGATATTCCTAGTGCCGCAGTGCCTATTCTCGTGATAGAAGTTTTACGCTAACATTCATATCATTCTGTAAACTTCTTCATCACATCAATGGAAAGCTTCATTCCCAGATCTGTCTTCCATACATACATTTTATAGACTAGAAAACAGGGACCTAACACTTCTGCTTGTTTTGGCTTTCCCGCTGCCCCGCTTGACGCCTTTGATAACTCGCAGGCACTCAGGCAGCAGCCACGCAGCACAGAAGTCACAGAATTCACTAAAGAAATGAAGCAATGAGAAGTAGCGGAAATCAGGGGAATCACACAATAGCAGATGTAGCAGAATGCAGATAAAGCATTATAGTATAGAAGAATAGAAGATATTTAACATTAAAATCCTACCGATAAAAAGATTAAATTGATTAAATTTCAGACCTTTCTGACGTTTTCGTAGCCGCTGAAATCGCAATCTTGATCTCCTCGAAAATGGCTTCGTTGCTTCGATTTCTCCATTTGTTCGAGCACCCATTAATCGCAGATGAAGAATTGAAGATTCCAAGCGACGTCGGATAGAGAATTGAAAGAAGGAAGCTGCGCACCGCACCATTAATGCTTTCTATTGGACCGAGCTGACTTTTACTCTTTATTAATATTATTATAACTCTTTACTAATGGGCCTAGTATACTACTAGGGTTAAAAAAATTGGGGGCCCTCCAAAAGTGGAGGCCCTGTGCAGCTGCTCTAGTTGCACCTGGGCTGGGCCGGGCCTGTCCACTAGACAAATCTCATGAGTATTTGATGAAACCCTTGTATCTACTATATAAATCTCTTACCTCCACATTTCTAAATACTCTCAATTATACATGCAGGGTCGTAATACGTTTTTGAAAGAAGATAACTTATTTATTAATAATGAAAATAACAAGAGATAAAGTAATATAATAGCTTAAGACTACACTAGGATGAGACATAGAATCAATTAGCCTTTAAGGACTGTTCGTATCAATTAGCCTTTAAAGATCGATCGTATTCGCTAACCCCGCAACGAAGTATTTAGATAACATACTACAAGTTTTATTACGTAGAATCATAAAATCAAAATTCAAAAATTTTAAAAAATGATTTACTAATCAAGATTAAGAAAGAGTTCATCAGCTGACCGCATGCATAATGAACAATAGCTTTAGATAGGGACGCAAGTACTATTTTGCCAATGTGGGGAATAATTAAACACCTAATGGCGAGACACTTCTTTTTGTCAATTGTTCAATCGTTCTTCATTATAATCATCTTCATTTTTATCAATTCTTCATATATATGAGCCTATACAATCATCATGTGATTGATTTGACTCTAATACAATGTTAATAAATGGAATTTCACGCATACTAAAGGGTTGCTTTGTAGTCTATTATCTAATCTTATATACTCCCTCCGTTTCCATTTGTTTGACAAATTTTGACTTGTCAAGGATTAAGAATTTTTTTTATTGAGATAAATTTACTGTAGAATACACTGTTTTGACATTGTTTGAACAATACTATCTATTTGACACTGTTTGACATGTTTTGCATTGTTTTGATAAAGATTTGTTTACCAAATAAGGAAATAAAGAAGTGTGACATTCATTTTGGAACATCTAGAAAATGAAAGTGTGTCAAACAAATTGAAACGGAGGGAGTAATACCGAGTATAATACTACGTATTTTATTAATGCATATATTGCTGCTCTACAATACGAAATATTTCAAACTTTAGTAAATACGTACATTGTATAATTATTTTGAAAGAAATCCTTAAATAGGACAAAATATAAACAAATTTATGGGGAATAAATGTGCACTTAAAGGACACAGCCATAATTGTTTTTCTCCTAAAATATAAATTGTTGACTCCCTATTGGGAAATACTACGTAAAACATATAAATACTCTTATTAATACACTTTATATTATCAATATTTTAGTCCTAGAACATTTTATTTATAATTCTTAAATGGTAGATTCTATGGTGCCCATAAGGTACCGTACCCTTGTCCACATGTACCAATGAGAATGTTGCAGTTGAATTATTTAAATCAAAATTAAAAATGATATCATGATGTGGACCAAGTCAATGGTAGGTACGGTACCCCATTTTTAAATGGGTACGAGAGTTGTCACCAACCTTCTTAAATTAGTAGAATGCATACAACGAATTTCAGTCACAGCTAAATTTAGTATTAGTCCAAGGAAGCTCTTAATTACCTCTCGATTCATCCGAAATTGGCGGGACAAGGCAGAGTGTGTAAATTAAGGCACAGATTACAGGTATATGTCCATTCAAAGGAAACACCAATATAAATGCGCCCCATAACGAAACATTGAATAGCCAACAACCGTACTGCATGATCTAAGACCAGCTCACCCTCTCTTCTTATCTTCGCACGTAAATGTAGCTAGGCACATCAGATTCATGCATGCAACTCTGAACTCTCTTTCAAACTGCAGAAAGTAATCAGGAATTGAACGAAACTGCATGAAAACCATGCACTGCATCACTTTTCTAGTGTCAATTCTAACATTTCAACTATGCCTATCCTCTTCCACCCACATCATCACATTCAACCAAACCCTCAAAGACGGCGATTTATTAACCTCCAGTGCGGACTCCTACGCTCTCGGATTCTTCACCCCCGGCAAGTCCGCCGGAAAACGGTACGTCGGGATTTGGTACCAAAACATCCCGGAATTCATGGCTGTTTGGGTCGCTAACAGAGAAAATCCCATCAACGGGACGTCCGGAATCTTCTTCATCGACGGCACCGGGAATCTTGTCATCCAAGACCGGAACACCGGCGTTACCGTCTGGAACACCAGTCTTTCTTTTCCGGCGTTCCAAAATCCTCATAATCACTCCGTTCAGCTCCTCGAAACAGGGAATCTGGTTTTATATCGTGACCCGGGTAGAAGGGTCAAAGCATGGGAGAGCTTCGATTACCCGACTAATACGGTCATAACCTCCATGAAGTTTGGAGTGGACAAGAAAGATAGGTTGAACCGCTCCCTTACGTCGTGGAAGTCGGCCGATGATCCGGGCACCGGCGAGTATTCTCTCGGAATGGACCTCAATGGAGAGCCTCAGGCGTTCGTGTACAAGAACTCGAGTCGGATTTGGAGACTCGGGTCATGGACCGGAACCGGGTGGAGCAACGTCCCGGAAATGTCGGGGAGTTACACCCCGTACAATTACACCGAGAACGGAGAAGAGGTTACTTTGTCGTACACGGTCGTTGACCCGAGCATCTACACGATATTCATGTTGAATGAATCTGGAACGTTGAATCGCATCATTTGGCGAGGAGATGATAGTGGCGGGCAGAAGAAGAAATGGGTCGGGCTATGGTACATTCCCAAAGATACATGCGACACGTACGAACCTTGTGGCGCGTTTGGCGTTTGCAATCCATACAATCTGGGCGAGTCGGCCTGTCATTGCCTTTCTGGGTTCAAGTCGAACTCATCAGTCCAGGAGTGGGCCTTGAAAGACGACCGATATAGCTGTCGCAGGGAAGCCAACACAGACGCCTGCCATAACGGTGACGGATTCCTTAAGCTCACAAGCGTTAACATCCCCAACACCGAAACGGCGTTCTCGGACAGGGCGATGGGGTTCAAAGAATGTGAAGAACGTTGTGTGAAGAACTGTTCGTGCAGCGGATATGCTAGAGCAAATATTAGCAATGGAGGGGAGGGATGCATCAATTGGTATGGAGAATTGAGAGATATGAGGGAGTTTGCTAATGGAGGCAGAGATATGTATATACGAGTCGCCACATCTGCTTTAGGTATCTTGATAATAGTTATTGGATTCATTTTTAGTCACTCGTCTTTATCTTTTCAGTGAATGATGATAAACTTTGGTTAATCATTTGAACTAATATATTTTTGCAAAACTTAGAAAGTTCATATAATTATTATATTTTTCTAACAAAATTTAGGTCGAATAATTATTATAGTGTTCTAACAAAAAACATTTGCATATCGTTTTTATACATTTTTTAGAAATATATCATTTTTATATTATAAATACTTTTATACTCAGAATACATTATCACTCAGAATTTAGCATCATTGATTAAAAAGTCAGATTTAAAAATGGACAGAGGACGTATATTATTATATTCATGGTAACTCCGTACAAATATTTCCTAGGTATCTTGAAGAGATAATACTACCTATGTAATATCCTTTTTTGTAAGAGAAAATTTTAAATATTAATTACCATATTCGTTCATTTAAAAGTGAGTTTATGTGATTGAGATTGCGTTGATAAAGTAAGAATAAAGTAAGAATGATTTAGAATCACATAAAATTTACTAAATTTTGTACGAGATAATATTAGTGGGACGAATCGAAAATAAAAGATAAGGTAGTCTTAAAGGAATGGGGGGGACTATGTAAGTCTTATTTTTACAAAATTTAGGTATGTTTTACTCTTATTGTGAATATTTTCTCTATATAAAATGTGGATGCTAATTTTAACTTTATGGGTAATTTATACTGCCTAAAAAGAATAATTTTTTATTCAAAGGTAATATATACTGGTTTATCCAACTTTTTAAGATTTCGAATCCAAAAGGCATGACATTCATTAAAAATGACTACTTTTAGATATGAATAAAAAATAACTAGTATAATGTGATTCAATTTAATTATGAGTAATAAAATTAAAATTGGAAAACTATAAATGTTTATTCAAAGGTCATTATTTGTTTATTATGTCATTGCCATCATATTTTTATCTTCCAAAAGAAAAACACAACTGATAGTTATGTGTGTTTTCTATATATATTCCTAATCCCCCACATATGCTACATTTAATATGTTTTGTTTTTCATGCGTGTTTTTGCAGCACAACGTGTAAAGAAATCTAATGGGCTTCGTCGGAAATGGCTAATAATAATATTAGCCACGGCTATACCTGCTGTTGCAGTTATTCTTTTGCTCCTATATTTGACATGGAAAATGAGAAAAGGTATATTCATCCAAAATTTCAGAAAAACAATTAATATTATAGAAAAACTATTTGTTTAGATACTGTATTTAGAAAAAATGTTTGCACTGGCTCACCTCTTAATTGATTTGATAGGAGATTTGAAAATGGAATGGTGATATTTATTTTTGAAATTATACCTATGGCAAAGATTTTTTAATAATATAAAAAAATGAGTATATAATTAAAGTAACAAATTGTGTCTAACTTGAATCTAACAAAGAATGAAAGAAATATACAGAGTATTAAAAATTTACCATAATTATGACGAATGTATCCAGGCTCAAGAGTTATAAATTTAGTTCAAGTTAAGTGTTCGGTCGATGCTGAAGAGTTCTCAAAGATGGAGTGACATTTTTTTTAAATTTACAACCAATAATACATACGTAAGTATTACTCACGGTTTTAATGATGTCAGATTGTTGGTGAAAGACAAGAAAGACTATATAGAAAAATGTGTGGTGTACTGGTGTACACAAAATGTGTATACTTTTTTGTACACTCATCTGTCTCCCGCAGACAAGTTGTTTGTCTACAGACAGCTCTATACAAAACAAGTGTAAATATTTTGTGCACACCTAGCACAGCTCATATACATGTCCCTATTTAAGTTTGATTTCGTAGCCAAAAACTTCACATTCGGACAATTTTCATTGTACCTGAAGCATTCACAACCGAGTGGCTCAGGCTGGTCATTAATTGTCATACTACCTCCATCCCAAAAATAGTTACAAATTTTACTTTTCTTAATCACGCAATCTTTTTTTGTTCACTTAATTAGGATGTCAATTTTTAATTATATTCTAATTGGGAGTTTACAACTTTGAAGAGATTTTAATGTAGTTTTTGAAAATGTAAATTTTAATTATTAAAAATTGAATTAATTATCCATAGGGAGGGTTGACTTTTATTAATGGTTATATTAAATTATCATTTTGATAAATTTAATACTCAATTCATTCTCTTATAATTTACTGGACTAAAAAAACGTTGACTCGGAGAACTTATATTCCGTATATACGTATCCGTAGTATTATTTACGTAGTATCTACTACCCCGTCCCATTTTATGTCTTCTTTAGTTTTGATACAATTTTTGATAAAGTAGTTGAAAAGGTAAAAGTTGTGGTTGAGATGTGAATATAGTAAAGTGAAATGATGTGAACCACATACTACGTATTTCTTTCCAAAAAAGAAAATGCGACACTTATTTTGGGACAACCCAAAAAGAAAGTAAGACAAATAAAATGGGAGGAGTATTTATTTATGACCATCGATCATTCTCTTCGACTCTAATGTTCATTTGCCAATTTACAATCATATAAAGGGTCTCCATCTGCAACAAATCTGGAAGAAGGTGCACCGGCAGATGTAGTAATCTTTGATCTTAACACAATTAAACTTATCACCGACAACTTCTCTGCCGAAAGTAAACTTGGAGAAGGAGGGTTTGGTTCAGTTCACAAGGTTAGTTAAAACTTCCCCTTTGCTTCTATCATAATTTAGTTCTCTTCTCCTTTTAGTGAATACTTTGTGCTGCTTAATCACTTAACTTAGCCTAGTCTTACAGTCCATTGAACTTAATTATCTTGCATACGCTAACAGGGTAAGTTACAAAATGGGAAACTTGTAGCCGTCAAAAGGCTCAAAACAAATTCAGATCAAGGGGTAGACGAATTCAAAAATGAAGTTATGCTGATTGCAAAACTGCAGCATAGAAATCTTGTGAGGCTTTTAGGATGTTGTGTTCAAGAAGGAGAGAAGATGTTGGTGTATGAGTACTTGCCCAACAACTCCCTTGACTACATTATCTTTGGTAAGATTGATTTAAACAAAAATTGCTAGCTTATTATCATTTGCGTCAAATAGTGGTGGTTTTATAATTATATGTGAGAAAAAATGCTTTATTTCAATCCAGTTTAAGGATTTTTCTCTTATTCAGTTGATCATGATAAAGAACTTTAGTTACAACTCAGACTACTCAGTATTCGTACATACATGCAGATAACAAGTCGGCGATGCAATTGGATTGGAAAAAACGCTTTGAAATCATATTGGGAATCGCTCAAGGATTATTATATCTTCATCAAGATTCAAGGTTAAGAATTATTCATAGGGATTTAAAAGCAAGCAATGTTCTATTGGATGATTCCATGGAACCAAAAATTTCTGATTTTGGAATGGCTAGAATTTTTGGAGAAGAACAAACAGAAGCGAACACAAACCAAGTAGTTGGAACGTAGTAAGTATATATTGTTCACGCGCAAGCTTGTTTGTGAATATTTTAAATGAATAAAATGTAATGATTTCCCATGTTATCTTATTATCACAGCGGTTATATGTCACCGGAATATGCCATGGAAGGTCTCTTTTCAATAAAATCTGATGTATTCAGCTTCGGTGTTTTGATGCTCGAAATTGTATGCGGAAAGAAAAATAAATATCAACACACGGAAAACTCGGTCAATTTAATGGGAGATGTAAGTTCACACACACATGTACAGATGTACTATACTATTTTTAGAAAATGCAAAATAAGGGCTCGTTGTTTAATAATTTGTGGCATATTTTCAGGTGTGGGATTTTTGGAATGAAGAAAGAGCATTGGGCTTAGTGGATCCATCACTAGGAGGGGAGTCGTACAATATTCGAGAAGTTTCTAGATGCATCCACGTCGGACTATTGTGCGTTCAACCATTACCAAATGATAGACCAAATATCTCAGAAGTGATATTTATGTTGAGTAATGATACAGAACTACCTAGTCCTAATCCACCTGGATTTATGGTTAGAAAAGGATATAGCACTACTCCATCCTCATACGGTGAAAGTGTTGGATATCAATCTATCAGCATGACAGTTACTCAAATGGAAGGTCGTTGAATTTCATAAGATCAGACTTTGATTTTTTTCATAAGACTTAACTTTATGTATGAATATTTGAAATATATGTGGTTGTGCATGTAGTGAAAATTCAAGATATTGCTAATGCATATGTGATGCCTTTAACATTAATATAATTTTATGGTAGATTCTAGGGTACCCTTAAGGTACCATATTTTTGTCCACATGGACCAATCAGAATGATGCAATTGAATTATTTAAATCTAAATTAAAAATGATATAATGATGTGGATCAATCAAGTGAATGGTAGGTACGGTACCCTATTTTCTAAATGGGTACCGGAGTTGTCACCTAATTTTATATGCTCCGTTTGTTTCTTAATGAACTTGCGGGTTGACCTTGTATGGTTTTTAATAAAGTGGAATTAGAATTAATATACTTGCAGTGTGAAACACGATCGATGAAACACAAATTATAAGAAATTACAATAGAGAATCTCATATCATGTATAAGAAGGCAATTTATATAATACCCTCAATGTATCATACCTTGTACACATAAATCAATTAAAATTCTTTAGTTGAATAATTTAAATATAAATAAATGATAAAATAATAATTTGGGGCAATCAAATAAATGAAATGCATGCCACCACCACCTCTTCCTCCTCATCCTTTGATGAGTCCATATTTCGACACATAATTGATGCGTGTTGGGATTGGTTTTTATTAGTTTTCCTAGTTTAAATGTGTCACAAAGCACCTAATTAGATCTATCTAGTCATAGTTTACCAGGTTCCGGTTTGCATTTGGTGTTTTTAGAATTAAAAGCAAGAAATTGAGCTCGGCACCGGCTATGGAGAACTATCCGAGACAAATCGAGGCACATTTGAGAGTTAGAGAAGTATTTAATGTCCATGAGTCATTAAAGGAGTGATTTTGAAGTCCAGATAGCTCAAGGATCAAGTACGAAATCAAACGAGAACAATACAGCTCGAAAACGGCGATCAGGGTGACATTCTGTCAATCATTCAAACATATCTTTTCGTAGAAACATCCAAAGGACACAATTCAAGTTTCACATGAAAGATAACTCAATGGCATACAAATCATAGGAAGATACCACACTACTAGAAAACTGCTTTTTAACAATGAAAAAAATGGTCGTTAAATGCCCTCAAAATCGTCGTTAAAACCTTTAACGACCAAAAAAATGTCGTCATTGGGTTGTTGTAATAGCTTCCCTCGTTTAAGGTTATAACGACGATGTTCATCGTTAAAATTAACGACAACATAAGAACTCGTCGTTAACTATTAACTATGACATTTGTGTTCGTCGTTACACAATAACGACAAAAAATATATTAATTGGAATATTTTTACAGGTCATTATTATTATTATTATCATCATTGAATATATTACATAGCACCCAACTATTAAACAATAACGAGTAATAACTTCTCAATTTTCTCATTTCACATTTTCACATCACACCAAATCCCCAACTGCTACAGCTTATAGCTACCAATGAAGAGGAGAAAACAAAGCAATATCAACAACTTAATTGAATAAGATAAACTCAGTTTAAGTTTCAATTCATATTACTACAGAAATGAAATACAATCTCATATGTAACCTCTACATGTAAAAGCATGTTCTTTAACTGCCAAGAATGAAAAATCATGACAGATTCTAGAAATACAATATCATATATAAAAATAATTGCTCCTTGATTACAAAATGAAAGAAAAATGTATGGAAGATTCTAAAACAAAACTTCTTGATATTGACAGTGATGGGTAACAGCTTCTCTTCTTCAATTACTCAATGCTCTAACCTATTAAAACAACACCAACACACAAGATGTTAGAACTTGGTAAATGAAATATGCAACAGTTCAATAATACTTGAGAAAAAAAACTTTAAACCAGTTTTAAATTAATATAGAGAACAAGTATGTAGATGTCTTACCTATCTGTTTAAAGTTCACATATCTTAATATCATGAATAAATCCTCCAGTGTAGTTGATTATATAACTATAAAAACCATGTTCCAAAAGGATAAGCCCAAAACAATATAAACTGCAAGGAAAATCAGCACCCATATATGTTCTTTATATAAAGCCAGATCTCTGCATAATTAAGCTAATGTGAATCATATCTGACACAATACAAATAAAATAACCAATCTGCCATCTACATTACTTTGGGTACAGGTCAGCCATCCTTTCTCTTAACAGGTGTCTACACTAAGTGTCTCACACAATTTTTAGAAATCCTGTTCTGCAGATTTTGAAATGGATGTCTTGCTGACAATGATCCAGAATGAATAATTATTCAGTTTTCAAAATATTTAGCTACACAGATATCTTGGGTGATTAGGAGACACTTAATTATAAGAGAAAGTAAGCTAAATATAAAAGGAATTGGATGAATGGATTGAATTTAAGGAAGTCTTACCTAAACATTTAGATAAAATATTGCACAAAGTTAATCAAGCCTTTAGTTGTTAGAGATCAAAATAGAAAAAGGGTGTTCTGGTTGTTTCATGTATTTGTGATTTTTAAACTCAGCTAGCTTTTACGTGCATGTGTGTTTAATACCCCGTATTAAATTTAGACATTTACCTTAAGAAATGATTTTTCTTTAAACACAGTACCTCTAATAAGAAGATTCTAATATCCCAGAGAAAGCCTCTCTACATAACAACCTGCATAAATCCTTAGCAACAACAAAATAAATATCACCAAGAATAGCAGAGTATAGCAATCTTATGTAACATCAACCAAATCCCTTCAAACTAAAAGCACAAAATTAGTACAAAAAGCTAGTTTTGAAACATAGCAATTTCAAATTAAATGACAACTTTTTAGCAATTGAAACATCTTGCCTTTATTATTTATCCAGTTATGATGTAACACTACTTTCTCAGAAGGAAGACAATTCCTCCTCTCCACACATCATTGTGCTCTTCTCCAAATGATGACCTGTGCTCATGATACCATGAACTTTAAGTTCCTGCTACAAACAGAGAAATTAATTCATATGTCCCAAATTTTATAGAGAATATAAGTGATTTACCTAGGGGTTTTTCCAAGTTTTAGATGTAGCGAGATTGAAAAAGTCAGCTCGATCAATCTAAGTCTGCTCGATCTGATTGTGCTTACATTTAAGCCAAACTAAAAGCCTGCAGATTTTAATACAGAAAAATAAATAATTGCCATGAAATATAGTCATACAAAGCACGAAATTGAAATTGTATTTATGCATCTAATAAGTGATTCAAGAGTTTAGATAACAGTTGTGCAGCAACTTACAAGATAAAGACCGAAAAACACTAAACTTTAAAAAACGCTTTAGAAAAGAAATGAATAATGGTGACTAAAAGTTGAATTGAATTACCTTGAACGAGAAAGAAAGTAATAGCGGGACACTACGAAAAATTTAGCAAGCGAGAAATCACGCAAGATTGAAATTGCTTTTATGTAGCAAAATTAGTCAAGAATCTAAAAACGATTATATATACAGAGCATCTATATACACATACATACATCACTTAAAAAGCTCAAGGCACTAAAGATTACAAGAAAAAAACATAAACCCATTACCCATATTAGAACAATAAAAACTAAAGATTGATATAACCTGGAAGAAAGAGAAGATTGACTGATCGAATGATTGAGACTGAGAATCGAGAAGAACAGTCTGGCCGGCGATTAATTATTGTTGGCTACTTTTTCCCGAAATTAATTGGGGAGAATTCGACTGATTTCGATCGAAGCTCATGAATGCTCTCTGCACCGCAGCTTATTCCACAGAGGACCCGGCGTTTAGAATTAGGTCACTAGGTTTTCATTTAGCGGAACGACTAATGAGAGGGCAGGAAAGATCGAACGAATGATTTAGAAGGAGATTAGGGTTGAAATTATGGCGCCGTGCTTAATTTTTTAAATTATACCCCGTAGTACTTATTACTCCGTATTATTCAGATTAGTTCTTTATAAAGAATTATTTTTTAAAAAAATATACCAAAAGCAAATTAATGAGTAATAACGACGATTGCATATTGATTAATAACGACAACTTTTCTTGCAAAGTCGTTAAAGATGAATTTAATAACGACGAACTAATTATTTGACGTTAAAAGATACTTTTAACGACGGATTTTGAGAGTCGTCGTTATATATTGGTCGTTAAAAATCCTTTTTCCAGTAGTGCCATGACGAAAATGTGAGAGGATCAAGGTGCAAACACACGAGGAGGTCAGATAATCGCTGTTGAGATTTCAGGATACGACCTTCCACCAATATATCCATATTTGTTAATTGGATAATCCAATCCCAATTTTGCAAAGTGTGGTAGATTTCAGGATGTCCCCATGCATAGCACTATAAATAACACCAAATCAACTCCATGGGGAACACTAATCAATCCATCACTAAATTAGACATCATAACGGGAATCATGGCTTCGTCTTCAAACAAGATAAGATTTCCTTCGATCAGGTAAGTAATCTTACATCATATACTTGTTGAATTTATTGTTTTTGATTTGATTAGAGAAGATTACTGGAAACGCTAATTCGTTAAGATTATTCAACATGTGGTATCAGAGACGTTTCTCTTAATCAATTCAAACCAATTTAGAATTAAGTTTTTGCGTTCCCAATATGATGGCGAAATGAAATTTTTATTTAAAAGTGGATGAAGAAAAGACGAACTTAATGACCAATTTGGACTTGAAACTCATCTGTAAAATTGGAGACGAATCATTAATTTTCGTCTTAAGGCTGAGTCTTTGTAACCCTCTGATTCTCCATCGGAGTTTCTAATTATGATTAAACGAAGGAGATGAGAGTGTTGAAGTCAGTTTAGGAGACGGATAGTAGCGCTGAAATAAGTCGGCAGTTTTCTTTAACAATAGGATGAGATATAGTTTAACAATAAGTCGGCAATTTTCTTTAATGAGAATAGCTCGGATTCTGCACATGCACAAATTGTAGAGTCAGGAGGGTTTCAATAGTGTCATGAAATTGTTAATACATTACAGAAATTAATCCCTGGGGGAAAAGTGTATTAACCACTGCATTTTAGAAAGCAAGTCAGTTGCAGATCTTCCCAACAGCCTAGTCATCACCCGATCAAACGCAGTAAACGTAGTGGATCCAGTTTGATCCATAACTTTGAGTGTAATGATACACTTGTAATTTCCGTGTGTATGTTTATGTTTTTAGTTAGTTTTGGTTGTTTAATATTTCGGAAATTACACACTTTTGGTGTAATAGTTTAGTTTGTTAAATTCCTGTAAATTGTTTAGATTAGGTTTATTCTGAGCTCAAACAGGTCTACTATCACTCAAAGGACGGTTGGTAAACCCCAAAAGTGGAAGGAGGGTGCAAAATCACAAGACAAAGGGGAAGATCCTGATTTTTGGTCTATACTCGATCGAGTATCTGTATATACTCGATCGGGTATCTTGTTGAAATTTCAAATCGGATCGGATCCGAAAACAAAGGAACATGCAGGGAAGATTTTGACCACGATCGAGTGTCTATACCCGATCGGGTACACCGACATACTCGATCGGGTATGACTATAAATTTTACTCTAATTTCGATCGAGTATGGATTGAATTCGAGTTTCTACACATACTCGATCGAGTATCTGTATATACTCGATCGAGTACCCGAGCTGCACTCCCAAAAAGCCTATAAATACACCCCCTTTCCTTCACAATAGAGCACCAATTCCTATATACTTCTAAGCTCAGTCTAGATAAGTTCTTTCTTTATATTTTCTTCATGTTTAGTCTCCAAATGAGGAGCTAAACTCTTCCATCTTGGTTTTGCTACTTTGAAGCTTAATGATTTGTAAGTTGTGAGTTATTTTCTTTAATCTTCTTCCTTGAATATTAATTACTTCCTATTCATATTCCATATTAATATTTTGAGCATTACTTAAAGGATCAATTAGTTTTGTCTCATATATTAATTATTACTAGAATCAATCGGTTAATACGCTTGTTATTAATTCGGTTCTTTCAATGGTAGTAAACTTGGGTTGTTAATGTATGCTTCTCATGGTTAATAAGCCAAGAGGGATTAATTATATTGATTAAACCAATAAACCGCTTGTGTTGAGGTTATCAATCTCAATCGTTTTCATCTTAAATTTATTGCTACTATCAAATTAATATACGGCGCTTGTTCTATATTGACTCGATAGTAAGTTTTATTAATGAATGTATCTCTTTATTAATAACTACCCTCGATGAACTGGATATACTCCTCGATTGAGTATTCAAGAGGAAGATAGTTAAAGATATAACCGGGATCGACGAACATTTCATTAAGTGGATAAAAGCAAAGCCAAGTCTCCTTCTCATTAATTACACATAACTCGTTCATCTTCGTGCCTAAATATAATTTAAGTTCATCAACCAAATATAAAAACCCCCTGTTATTACTTATTTATTTTAAGAAAAATCAAAAAAATATAATTAAATAAAATATAAAGAGTTCTTCTTCTATTTCTGAGCTTTGTAAAGTTCCTATATGGTAAAATATCGTTCACTGAACGAAATCACCTACCAATCAAACCCCGAAATAGAGCAAACTCTCGAGCGGTTGAAAAATAAATTCTCAAATACCGACTCGAGAGATTCATCACGTGCTAGCTCTTATTCTAGCGAGCCTGAAGAGCCAACAACTATGGCTCTCGAAACAAGAACGTTGAGGGAGCTCACAGCTCCAAACTTGAATCAACAACCGCTATGTATTACCTTCCCTACACTCAACGAGGGTAATACATTTGAGCTGAAATCTGGGCTCATTCATCTTTTGTCATCCTTCCATGGCCTAAGAGGGGAGGATCCGAATAAACACCTCTCGGAGTTCCATGTTGTATGCACAAGCATGTGTCCTAATGGAGTCACCGAGGAGCAAATCAAATTGCGGACTTTCCCGTTCTCACTCAAGGACACCGCAAAAGATTGACTATTCTATCTTCCTTCGGGAAGTATAGATACATGCGCGGCCATGAAGAAAGCTTTCCTTGAAAGGTACTATCCAGTCTCTGTCTCCTCATCTCTCAAAAAGCAAATAAGCAATGTGGAGCAAAAAGATGATGAATCGTTCTATGAATATTGGGAACGATTCAAGAAACTTTGTGCAAGCTGTCCGTATCATGGCTATTCGAAGCAAGACCTCATTCTATACTTTTATGATGGTCTTTGCAACGATGATAGACGGATGATTAATGCCGCGTGTGGAGGAGGAATCGTTAACAAAACTCCTTCTCAAGCTATGAATCGTATCTCGGAGTTGGCCGAGAATTGTAGATATCACAACGGGCGGTCATCAACAAAAAGAGTTATGGCGGCAGAATCAACATCGTCACTAGAAAGTCAAGTGGCCGACTTGACTTCTTTGGTTAAGGATTTCCTTTTAAATTCCAGGACCCAAGAAGTCAAGGTCTGCGGCATTTGCACACAACAAGGGCACACAACCGACTCATGCCCAACGCTACAAGAAGACAACCCCGAGCAAGTCAACGCTTTGGGGTTCCCAAATCAAAAAAGGTACGACTCCTATGGCAATACTTATCATCCCGGGTTTAGAGATCATCCCAATTTGAGATATGGGAATCCTCAAGGAAACCCCCAACAATCCAACCCTCCACAAAACCAAGGCCAAGGCTCGAGTATGTCCACGGAGGATCCCAGTATGAGTTTTCTGTTAATAGGAATGCAGCTTGTGTGAAACAATTTAAAACTGAAACAGCTTGTGTATTAAGAAATGTTGAATTTCAAGTATAAAATTAAAGACATTGAAGCACCTCATGAACTAATTCAAACTCAAACAGTAAACTTCAGTAAGGATAATAAGAGGACAACAACAAATAAATTACACTTTTTAACCTTTGTTTGTAAAATCAAGAATGTTTTAAGCTTTTTAAGATAATTCTAGTCTGTACTGTATACCTTTCGTATGTAGATTTTCTGACTTTTTTATGATATATGAGTGAATAGAAGTTTTTAAACTACTATGAACCTTAAATATTGGCACTCTATCGCAGGTATAAGTCAATGTCTCAAACCTGGAAGAAATCAAGTTGAGGTGACTGAAGAACTTGGCTTTTTAAAGAGGTATGTTTCAATTTCCTTTGCTACTTGAAAGTATCTAACTGAAGTATATAGAATTACAAATATGTGATAAAAAAAAGAATTCTATTTTGTCGGGTAACAAATGAGATAAAATATTACCATCGAATTTAGTTTCAGTTTTTTAAAAGGCCTGAAATATATTACATTGACTTGAACATAATACTTTTTATCACCGCCGGCTTGATCTCGTAGCGGGGTAAAGTAATTCCTGGTACTTGAATACTGTCATACTCTGTGATCTCAGGGGCTAGGAAGTCTGCAATGGTCTCTCACTACCAAAAAAACTCGTTATAGATACGGATTTTGGCTCGGAAAATAACCCAGACAAATTTGGCGCGGGAATAGGGACGGAAAGCAGAAAAAGTCGATTTGTTACTACAATGGCACGGCATTATCCGTGCCAACACGTTTGGCTCGGACATTTCGACCCTACATCCGTGCCAAGACCGAAAACCTGTGACGTAGTTGGCTTGTGTTGATATCCGTGCCAACCGCCGCGACAATATGGCAGGGAAACCAATCCGTCCCAACGATTTTTTTTTATTTTTAGAATTTGGCCCGGTATATATCCGTGCCTAATTTTTCCGTGCCAAACTCCGAGACAACCCCGTATCTTATTTGACTGTTCCACTGTCCGTCCCTATTTCCGTGCCTAATTCTAGCCGTTACGTTGGGTGGCATATATCCGAACCAAATGTAGTGCCAAAATGTAACCGTTAGTTTGACTGGAATCTGGCCGTCCCAAAACCGTCGCAAAGACCGGATTTCAAATAAAGTTTATTTCGTGCCAAAATCCGAGACAATGAGGACCGTTGAACACATTTTGGCAGGGGCATTTCCGTCCCAATTTCTGTGCCTACTAAATCTACAAATATACCAAGTTGGGATGTGAAGCAAACTACATCTCAGAAAATGATGTCTTCGATCTTTGTGTATGATGAATTCTGGATAGAAGTTGGAAGTTATATTACTTGATATCTGGAGGTTTTCTATATGGATTTCTTACTTTATATTACTTGGTATCATCGTTGTACTTAAGGTATGTAAATTACGACCATTGTGCTTTTAAATTAATTTGATCATATCCATATTATGAGTTGTTATCAGTATTATTTAATTTGTCTTAATTATTTTGATTGAATTCAAGTGTTAGCTTTAAAACGTGAGACATTGTCTTATCAATTTAATAAATTAATTTCGTTAAGATATACTGTCAAAAAAAGTTAATTAAGATATTTTTTAATATTCAGGCACAATGTATAGACAATCTAGAAGTTGGATGTATGACCGCTACAAGGAAAATGGTAGAGGATTGAAAAAAGTGTTTGAAAATGGAGTTAACGAATTTATTAGATTCGCACAAGAGCAAACACGCTATGCTGATGGAAGTAAAATAAGATGTCCTTGTACAGAGTGTAAAAATAACAAATGTGTTGAAGGTGATGAGGTTTGTTGGCATTTATATACGCATGGTTTTGTTGAAAACTATTACAACTGGACTGCTCAAGGAGAACCAATTGAGCCAGAGCTCTTGCCGCAAAACGTAGGAACATCGAGGTATGTTCCCGATGAGATGGCTAATTGGGGAAATTATGAAGAAATGGTATGGGAGCAAAAGATGCTTTATGATTTGGCTGGTCCTTCTACGTTTCCAAATATCCACACGGATAGTAATTTCAACGCACACAATAATATGAATGAAGGACCAAGCTCATCATATTATGATGTGGATGACTTAGGCACTAGATTTCAAGAAGTGCTCAAAAGTGCGGACCAACCTTTATATTCTGACTGTTATGATCATTCACAATTATCAGCAGTTTCTGAATTTCTTAACATAAAGTCAGAATATAACCTCTCTGAAAGCTGCATGTCCAAAATATTAAACTCAGTTGGTAGTATGTTACCCCGTGATCATTGTCTTCCCGATAGTTACTACAACATGAAAAAGTTTGTTTCTGAGTTAGGTCTCCCTATGATCAAAATCCACGCATGCCCTGGAGGATGTATGTTATTTTGGAAGAATGACGAAACACTTATGCGTTGTAAGTTTTGTAATGCGGATAGGTACAAGCCCATATCAGGTATGACTCGAAAAGCCCGAAAAAGATCTGCAGCATCGAAGTTGATATATCTTCCTTTAGCACCACGTTTGCAAAGATTATATGCCTCAAGCGCTACCGCGAAACACATGACGTGGCATGTAGAGCATGACACTGAGGAAGGGTTAATGTGTCATCCATCAGATTCCGCGGCGTGGAAGCATTTTGACCGGTGTTATCCTCAATTTGCTTTTGAACCACGCAACGTCAGACTTGGGTTATGTTCTGATGGTTTTGCTCCTTACGGTCAATTTGGAGGGCAGTTCTCATGTTGGCCAATCATCATTACACCATATAACTTCCCCCCGGATATGTGTATGAAAAATCATTTTATGTTTTTATCATTAATGTGTCCTGGTCCTCGTAATCCAAAAAAAAGAATTGATGTGTATTTGCAGCCATTGATCGAAGAGCTGAAACAATTGTGGGAAGTTGGTGTTCCTACATATGATGTTTCGAGGGATCAAATATTTAATATGAAAGCTGCGATTATGTGGACCATTAGTGATTTTCCAGCATACGGCATGCTATCTGGATGGAGTACTGCTGGCCTTATGGGCTGTCCTGTTTGTA